ATGAGGAACTATTTTTTAAAGCAGGTGTATAGTTTTATATTCCTCCTTACATTTTTCCTTAGTACTTGTGAGAAACACCTTTGTGTTTCTTTAGAGTAAGAACTACAAGTTGGCTTTGATGCATCCTGGTGAGTGTCAAAAGATACACCAGTAAATGTTATTTTAGCTGGAGGAAGGGAGGCCCAATATACCTTCTCCCCCAGTGACTTTTAGTTCTTCCCAGGGTCTGTGCCAAGTGCAGTCCTTCAGATGCAGGAGAACTGCTTTTCAGGGAGGCAGTTGCTATCATGTCTGCAATCAAATTCTTCCCTGCATCATTCTCCTCGCAGATGGGGGAAAGGATGTTGGAGTACTCGCAATACCACTCCAAGTCTAGGATCATGAGGCTGGTTCATGGTTAGAGGTGAGGACCCTCCTGACCGTAGCCTATGGGCATTGATGGTGACTGCTTATACATCTTGGGTTTACCAACATCAGTCATTCAGAACTGCAGAGGGGGAAAGGGCTTTGAAGACTCTTCTTGAAAACTCAAGCCCTTTCCCACCTCAATCTCAGAGCAGCTTCTTCCACATACCGGTTCACTCTGGACTTTCAAGAAAAGGAAGGGAGGGGTCCCCAAGTTCCTTGGTCACTCAAATGAGGCTACTGCCAGGGCCCAGGCACCTTTGGGTACCATCATTGTCCTTGAAATGCTACATGTACAACCTAAAAACAGGTGAAATGGAGAAAAGAGACAGGTGGGAACCTCCATTTGGAGGTAATGACCCCTCCGCCCACGGACAAGGAACGGACTTGGCAGAGGCACATGAAGAAAGGCCTGGAAAATCAGACTGGAGTGGCTTCCCTCTTCCTCACGGAGAAGCTGCACAGGAGCGGCTGTGGGGGGGCAGAGATTCGGACGAAACTGAGTGCCCCCTTTGCCCCATTTCAGGATAGAGAGCCAATACCACAAATAGAATTCTGACTGTGAGGTTTACTCTCCAGCCCAGCGACCCCTAGAATGAAGACCACATTTCCCAGCCTTCCTTGGAGATGGACGAGGTCATGGGAGCCACTCTGACCAATGGCGTGTCTTCCTGGAGGGGCGGGGGTTGGCCAGGAACGGAGGGCACCTCCTCCATCGCAGGCGGTCAGTCCTCCTTGACAATGAGTGGAATACGAATTTCTTTCTTAGTTAAGCTAGTGTCTGGTGTTCTTGCTACTACAGCCGAACCTAATCGTAAATTATTCTAGAGCCAAAGGATACGCCATGGCGGGAAAGGAAAGCTGGCCCTACTAGAACCACAAGGCCCGAGGGGTCTGTGTGAGTGGAGGGCGGGGTGCCAGGAGAAGAGCGAGGCCCGTAGGGTCTGCAGGACCTTAGGCGGTGGGAAGGTTGGAGCTGTGCGGCCAGGTCCCGGACGAGAGGACTGGCGAGGGACCAGGAGAAGTACCCGCGAAAAGCCATACCTGTCTTCAGCCCACACCCTGCCCTTTCTGCACCCTGGCTGCCGGCCCAAAACCCCTGAGCCATGCACCCACTTCGGAGTGCTCCTTTCTGCCCAGAATTGCATACTGAGCCCAGGTCTGAGACTGAGTTAGCCACGTAGGTGAACCCAAGCCCTGAAGACCAGAGTGGGCAAATGTGGCGTGAGATCCGCCCTCCCACTCCACTTCCATTCATCCACCTAAACGCTACAGAGCGTCCGGGTTGTCCCAAGGGTTCTTGATGCTGGTGGTGGGACAGGGAAAGAAGCCCCCCAAATCCCGCTCTGGTGGAGCTTACATGCTAATGAGGGGAGGGGTGGCTGCTGAACAGGATAAATAAAAATATATAAAGTATATCATGTAGGCCGGGCGCCGGTGGCTCACGCCTATAATCCTAGCTACTCAGGAGGCAGACAGCAGGAGGATCCCGTTTGAAGCCAGCCTGGGCAAACAGTTCATGAGACCCTATCTCAAAAAAACCCTTCACAAAAAAGATAGGTCTGGTGGAGTGGCTCAAGGTGAAGGCCCTGAATTCAAGCCCCAGTACCACAAAAAAAAAAAAAAAAGTATACTATGAGTGATCAGTGCAAATGAGATAAAGCCAGAAGAGATAGGAAGTAGGGAGTTCAGTTCAGGTAGGGCCATTGGGAAACGACCTCACTAAACAATGGTTCTGTTAAGATTTTTGAAAATGTTAGGCACAGAAGACAGAAAATACAGTCGTGTGTTGATTATGGCACTGGAATTAACTTACTGGTTACAACACGGACATGCCTACATCTGTGTGTCTCTGTGTGGGTGACAGAGGATGTGGCTCCAGTGGTGAGGATGTGGCCAGGGTGAGGTGTCTGGAACAGAGACTGCAGCAGGGCGAGACACCTCTCAGCCCAGCCAGTCTTCAAGCAGGGCCAAGAGGGCCAGTGCCCATGGCTCTGGGCAGCATCAGCGACACCTTCTCCCAGGCTGAACAGTGTGCTATCTGGGAAGAAAGGGTGGGCCCTGGAGATTGCAGAGTCTCCTTGTCTGGCCCAGTGGCATCAGGGGCTGGGAGATGGTGCAGGACAACTATGGGCTCTACCTCCTGCCCCATCCTAGCCACCACCTGGGTCCCTTTCCATCCCTACAGGCAGATAGGTTCTGGTGGGGTTTTTCCAGGCTGGGCCATTAGGGATGAACAGTCAGGACAGATGAGGTGTGACCCTGACCCCCATGGCTGATGGCAGGGGACAGACAGCAACTTTGCCAGGAGCAAGTGGAGGACAGGGAGGGGGAGGTACCCCACCTCATATCCTGTTTTCAGAACGTGGGGCTCCAGCATGTGCTATTCCCTTTGGGCTTTATCCAGGGCAGTGCCCTTCACCTAGGCCCACTCCCAAAGGACACTGCAGGAAGGTGGAGCAGTTTCCAGCATGCCCAAGCAAGGGTCAACATAAAGTTTTTCCAGGCTGGACTGCACCCCCTGAGCCAGTGGGGACCAAGGGCACATTTCCCACCCCTTCCTGAAAGCCAGCCAATGAGTCCCTATCAGCATATGGAAAACCATGCAGGTCTCTGTGGCTGACTGGAAAAGGAAACAGCACTGCCGAGGAGGTGAGGCCCAGTGCCCTTCCCCCTCACAGGGACAGGCATAGCCCACCACACAGGCCCTGAGGACTGCTGGGCCCTGGAACATCACCTGCAAAGCCCAGCCAGGCCAGAGGGAGGACAGTTTCCTGACAGCGTTAAGAATGTGGGCTCCATGATCAGTTGTGCTGGAGGTGAGACCACAACCTGATATTTACTGGCTGAATGACTGTTGGGCAAGTGGCTTAGACTCTCTGAGTCTGTTTCCCTACTGGGACTGTTGCGAATTGAATGTGCTGGGATCCATACAGGCCCCAGCCCAGCAGGTGAACAGGTGAGCAAGGAATGGTGTGTGGGCCGGGCAGACTCCTAGGAGGCAGAGAGAACAAACAAAACATCTCAACCCAGGTGTCTCTCTCCCCACCTGTGGCCCTACTCAGGTCCCTATCGGTCATCCTAACTCCCCTTTCCTATGAAATGACCTCTCCTGCCACCTAGAGCAGTAGGAGAGTCTCAATTCATAACCCGCTAGGGGAAAGGGGAAGATGTTCTGTCTACTTGTTCACCTTATAAAATGCCATGTTCATCATAGTAAATCTGGAAATTACAGAGAAGAGGGAAGGAAGCCAGAGCCTTTATTTACAAAGCCAGTCATTCTTGACACTTTCATGTTTTCCCGGCATTGGGGTTCTGGGATTTCTGTAAATATGGTTGGAACCTGAGCATTAAGAGAGAGCTACATGAAACTTGGGGGTCAGACCCCCAGCCTCTTGGAGTGACAGGCCAAGAAAGCACATCCTGGTCCAGAAAAGCTGAGCGACTTATTCAAGGTCAAACAGTGGCAGAGCTGGAGTCAGAAGCCCATGTACTGCCTCCTAAACACCAGCATGAATCTCCCTGAAGAGGTGTCACCGAAGACCACCTTCAAAGGCAACAATCAGTTACTGCAGATGTAGGCCTCCCAGTTTGGGGGCATCTGTCCGGGAAGGGTTTCCATGAGCTCCTTGGTTACCCCAATAAAGGATGTGGCTCTGGTTAATCCCAATCCATTTCCTCATGGAGACACAGCTTATGGGATGGGCATGAGGGTGGGGGGTGATGGAAAGGGAGGGTTGGCAGAGTCCAGCAAGGGGTGTGGTCCTGGGTCTGTTCCCAGGGTGGAGCCAGCCAGTAGGGTCACCCTGTCCCTTTAAGAGAAGGGGGAGAGCTAGCCCCTCTCAGCTATCCTGTCCTATCATCCATCCCAGCCAAATCCGAAAGGGAAAATGAAAGAGGGACCAGAAGAAACAGGTCCCAGCTGTCTCTCAAGGTCCTGTCCTCAGCTGTAACACCCCAGCCCCAGGGTGAGTGGGGTTGGGAGGGGGTCTGGGGTTACCAGGGGCCTGTGGGGACCTGCGGGAGTGTGTGTGTCAGGGGAGGCTCTCAGGAGGCACCGGAGGACACCAGGGAGGTGGTGGGAGAGGGCTGCGCAGCATTTCCAGAGCTCTAAGGGATGGGTGGGAGGGGGCATCTCCAACAAGGGATCTGGGAGAGTTATGGAAGTGGGGGTTACCTTTGCGCCAATCCCCAATCCTGAGAGAAGTTCACAGCAGTGAAAAGGGCAAGAGAAATGGGGGGCAGGGAAAGGGGGAAGTGGGGACCAGGTCCCTCTCTGGCCCATAGAAAGCACCCTGGAGCACACAGGTTGGACCTTTGTGTCCACAGTGCAAGTCAGGACTGGCCCTGAGGACCTAGAAGGTCCTTTCCTGAGAGCCAGGAATCTGAAGTGCCACAGGGTCTAGGCAAGCAGGCCCACACCCCTGGTGTCTAGCTAAAAGCCAGGGGGAACCCCTCCACAACACCCCTGTGCCCCCCAAAAACACAATTCATAGCTGAGAATCACCCCACTACACTCGGCTGCCCCAGGGTTCGAGATTAACTCACTGCTTCCCACAAAACTCAAGCTCCTCTGACCCCTTGCCCATCCTGAAGTTAGACCTAGTAATGACCCCACACCACACGGGGCGGGAGGGTGAAGGGGAGACGACTCATGGGCCCCATCTGTCCCAGCCTCTGATTGTCCCCTGCATCCCCAGCGCCATGGGAGAGTGGGCGTTCCTAGGCTCGCTGCTGGACGCCGTACAGCTGCAATCACCGCTGGTGGGTCGCCTCTGGCTGGTGGTCATGCTGATCTTCCGCATCCTTGTGCTGGCCACGGTGGGCGGCGCCGTGTTCGAGGACGAGCAGGAGGAGTTCGTGTGCAACACGCTGCAGCCGGGCTGTCGCCAGACCTGCTACGACCGCGCCTTCCCTGTCTCCCACTACCGCTTCTGGCTCTTCCACATCCTGCTGCTGTCGGCGCCGCCGGTGCTGTTTGTCATCTACTCCATGCACCAAGCCAGCAAGGAGGCGGGCGGCGCGGAGACGGCGGCGGCCACGGCGGCGACGCCGTGCGCACGCGGGGGACCCGAGGGACTGTGCGCGCCCTGCGCCCTGCGCGCCCGCCGCGCGCGCCGCTGCTACCTGCTGAGCGTGGCGCTGCGCCTGCTGGCCGAGCTGGCCTTCCTGGGCGGCCAGGCGCTGCTCTATGGCTTCCGCGTGGCCCCGCACTTCGCGTGCACCGGTCCGCCCTGTCCCCACACGGTCGACTGCTTCGTGAGCCGGCCCACCGAGAAGACCGTCTTCGTGGTCTTCTATTTCGCCGTGGGGCTGCTCTCGGCGCTGCTCAGCGTGGCCGAGCTGGGCCACCTGCTCTGCAAGAGCCGGCCGCGCGCCGGGGAGCGCGACAACCGCTGCAACCGCGTGCACGAGGAGGCGCGGAAGCTGCTGCCGCCGCCACCGTCCGCCCTGCCCTCTCGGCGCCCGGGCCCCGTCCCCTACGCCCCGCCGGCCTATGCGCACCCCGCGCCGGCCGGCGACACAGAGGGCGAGGGCAGCAGCGGCCGCAGCAAGGCGTCACTGGCCACTGTCCGCCAGGACCTGGCCATCTAGCGGCGGGCTGTGCGGACGGCGAGGTCCGAGGCCGAACCCCACCACCAGGGTCCTTGCCTCTGAAGCGAGAAGTGGCTTCCGCAAGGACTGTCGCAGGACCCTGCCTGAGCAGAAGACGCGCAGTGGGGATGGCCCCGGACGGCATCGCCACGCCCCCGGTGCTAGCAGCGGCCGTGCTGGGGGCGTGCAGAATGAACTAGGGCCAGTCCGATGCAGTGATCCAGGCAGGAAGGGAGGAGGACAGGGGGCCTGAGTGGAAGTGGACAGGAAGGCAGCTGGTGGCCTGGCTGTTGTTCAGAGGAGCGGCTCCGTGGGCTCTCTGTGAGTGTGCACACGTGCACACCTGAACACACTGAGCTGTGTGTGCATGCACATGGAACCCTGGGTGAGCTGTGTGTGTGCGTGCATGTGCACCTGTGTGAGGACCACACATGCATCTACATACACGTGTACCCACGCATGAACCTCTGTCGTCCCAAGTGAGTTGTGTGTGCACATGTGTGTGCACACGGACCCACGTACCTCCTGGGTGAGCTGTGCACATGTGCGTGCAGACACGTGTATGTGGTGAGTTGTGCATATACACCTGTGCATGCATTATCGACACATGTATGTGTATCCTTCATGAGCCCTCCGTGTACACTTACGTGTACAATGTACAAACACACCTGTACACACATTCAGCCCGGTGAGCTCTGTGTGCATGTGTTTATCTGTGGTCACTGTCTTGATGACCAGGATCCAAAGTGTGCGGCAGGCACAATGACTCCCCCTCGTCTCTGCTGCCCTAACCTAGTCACCTGTAAGGGGATCCAAAGAAGGCATGGCCTCCAGAGGGAGGCCCACCTTATAAGGCAGGGGAAGGCAGGTGTCCCTGTTCCCTGCACAGTCCCAGGTCTGTGACCCCATCTCAGCTCTTTATCCGCTGGCTGGGCCTGGCCAATGGCAGCAGAGTGGGGTTGGGACCAGAGGGCAGGAAAGGCAAGTGTTACTCTTGTTTTCCATCTCCACCCTCCCTGTTCTCCCAGACTGTAACATGGCTAGGTCCCTCCCTATCCTCAGGAGAAACCTGCTCCCCAAACAAATGCTCCTGGCCCCACAACCCCCTGCAGTATCTCTTCTTCCTGCCCAGGTAAAGAGCTGTGTGCAGAGCAGCCTTGCACCTTCCTGTTTCTTCTCTGCCCTCACCTAGCTTCCTCCTTCACCACTCCAGTGGGCCCACTCTCCATAAACTCACCCAGGAGCTACCCCCACACCTACCTTGGGGCCAAATCAGACCCTGCTGACCAGGCTGGCCTTTGACCACCACACCCCCACTTTGCCCATTTTCTCCCACATTCCTAGTGTTCCCTCTCTGTCCTTTCATGTAGTCTTCCTCCTCAGACTTCCTAAATAGCCCTCCTACTTAACCCTCAGGGGCTCCCCTGCCCTAGGGGTGAGGTCAGCCCCTTCCAGCCCCCACTTGGTCAGGCCTCCAGCCACATCACACCAGCTTCCAAACTATGCTGAGGTTTCTGCTCCTGACAAACGCCATGCCCATTTGTGTTCTTTCTGTTCACTGCCTCATATAGGTGTGTTATCTGAGGAACTGGAGGGGTCTTGGTGCCCACACATCATGGGGCCCACATACATATCCACACTCCCAATGGACACTTCAGCTCTGATGGAAGTCAGTTCTGGAACTGCAGCCTGGAACCCTCCACACAAATGCAGATGTGGATAACCAGCTGATTCCAGATATATTCATTCAACAAATATTTGTTGGGTACCTACTATGTGTTTTCAAGATCAGCATCATGAGATAAAATTGCATGTGAGTCTCAAATGTAATTTCAAATTTTCCATTAACCACATTATAGAAGCAAAATAAAGCATGAGATTAAAGTTAGTAGTGTATTTTTTAAAACTTGGTCTATCCAAAATAGTACCATTTCAAACTGTTGGGTGATATTAAAAATATTAAGGAAATATATTACTTTCTTTTTTTTTGTTTTGGTGGTATTGGGGCTTGAACTCCGGGCCTACACCTTGAGGCACTCCACCAACCCTCTTTTGTGACGAGTTTTTTTGCCCAGGCTGGCTTCAAACCTCGATCCTCCTGATCTCTGCCTCCCGAGTAGCTAGGATTACAGGCTTGAGCTACTAGTGCCCAGCTCTTCACTTTCTTTTTGCCAGTAGTGGGGTTTGAACTCAACGCCTCATGCTTATTACACAGGTACTCCACCATTTGAGCCACACCTCCAGCCCTTCCTTCACATTCTTGCTTTCCATGCAAAGCCTTCCATCTGGTGTGTACTTTATGGTCAGAGAACATCTCAGTGCTACAGCCCAAGGCCCAGTCACCACACATGGCTTGTGGCCAAGTGTGGTACAGCACAAATCCAGATGTTCGGCTGCAGTAGTAAGCACCCCCTGCTCTCATGGAACTTATCTTATGGTGGGGAAGACAACAATAAGTAGACACAGAGAATATGTCAGGCAGTGATGTAAATAAGGAGGGAGAGAGAGTGACATTCCTGAGCTGGTGATATTTTAAACAGAATGTTGCAAGACTATGAAGCTGTCTCCAAGAAAAACATCCATGGGGAGGGAATGGCATATGCAAAGGCTCTGAGGCAGAAATGTGCAGAGGCCAATAGAGAGACTGGTATGGCTGGAGTGGAGTGAGCAATAGGGTGAGCTACCAGCACCCCAAATGCTCCCCTAGCCTCCTTAGTTGCTCCACTCTGTAACTGCCCCTCCATCTCCTGGAGTCACCTCCGCCAGCTGTCCCATCCATCTTCTACCCACCTTCCATAGTTCCTCAGTCACCTGTTCCTCTCATTCACCATTGTGTCCCTATATCCACTCTTTTATCACCCTTTAAAGGGTCAGCCCCAACACTGCCAGCCTGAAGATCTCCCACAGCCTCTGCTCTGGCCCCTCCAAGTCCAAACTGAACCCCTGGCATGGTGCACACTGCAATGAAACACTCAGGAGGCAAAGGCAGTTCAAGGCTAGCCTGGGGTTCACAGCGAGAACCTGTCTCAAAACAAAATCCCCCAAAATAAGCCAAGTGCCTGTGGCTCATGCCTGTAATCCTAGCCACTTGAGAGGCTGAGGTCAGGAGGATGGCAGTTCAAGGCCAGCCCAGGCAAAAAGTTCACAAGACCCCCTTCTCCACCAATAGCTGGACCAGTGGCTTGCACCTGCCATCCCAGCTATGGTGGAGACCTAAAATAGGATTGCAGGCAAAAGTAAGACTCCATCTCCAAAATAACCAGAGCAAAAAGAGCTGGAAGCATGGCTCAAGTGATTGAATGCCAGCCTAGCAAGCGCAAAACTCTGAGATCAAACTCCAGTACTGCCAAAAAATAACAACAAAAAAACCCAGGAAATAGCTAAAACACAGAGCTGCTGACAATTTCTGATCATGCAAAAGCTACTTATCACCTCTGTGGCCACGTGAGGACACAGGGGAAAGAGCTCTTTTCCCTCAGAGAGTTGACTGAGGGGCCACCATTTCCAGGAAGGCTGGATGAACTGAGGACCAGTGAGGACAACCCAAGCCCATTATTCCCAACAGGGAGGGCACTCCCTCAAGGCGGACTTCATCAATGTAGGGGGTGCTGCCTAGTTGTCACAGCAATTAGGGACCTTGTTGGCATCTAGTAGGAAGGGACTATGAATGCCAAGATATCCTTCTGAAATAATTAAAAAAAAAAAGTCACATAACTTTACATAGTGAAAAATCTCTTCTGAATTACCTGAGCCACCTATTTCACATGTGAAACAAACATTAAGGGCCTTTTTCTTCTTTTGCATATCTGAGGTGCTAGTTTTTATTCAAACATCCACCCTGTACTCTGATTCTCCTGGGTTTTTGTACAGAATGGCCTCTGATCCTCTTTTAAATTCAAATGTCCTTACAAACAGAAGCACACATTAATGTATTGAAATACCTAACACTTCCTGTTTCTCCTGCATAATACAACTAATACGGTTGTGATAGCTCATTGATTTTTGAAAGCATGTGCACTGGTATGTTATATTAGTTTTGTAAAGGTGTTAGAAAATCTTTGCTAAAGGAAAAGCACCTCTTCCCAAGGCGCCCTCTGGACACGGTTAGGTGGCGAGCTGCTGCCATCTGGTGGCTAATGTAGAAATGGCTGGGGACCCTATGGGGAAGGAAGCCTTTGGTTCCCTTTTGCCAAAGGCCAGGGAACCTCCTCCTCCTCCCACCATCATCTGCAGTGTGATGCTTCTTCCAGGATTTCAAGGATCCAAGAGTGAGCCCTGGGTGATAAGTGGGGACCTTGAGTATTGGTTCCCAACCTGCCACTCACTGTGTGACCCTGGGCAAGGACACTGCTGTGTGTGGGCTGAGATGTCTAGTGGTGAGATAGAGTAAACTGGCCATAATTAACCATAAGGGGCCCAGAGCCTGTCAGGAAGCACCCCCATCCCAAGTCCTCTGCCTAGACACCAAGAAGGGGGTGGAGGCAGTGAGGCAGAGGCACATGTAGAATAAATAGAACTTTATTCTTTATCCAGTAGATCTCAGTGGAAAGTCCAACAGTAACAGGTGCACCAGCTCCAGGGACGAGACCCCAACCCCTGGGCTAGGAAGGCAGGGCAGACCCAGCTCCCCCAGCCCAGAGGTGCAGGGGCAAGGGGAGGAACCCCCTGTAGGCCCGTCCTGCGGGGCAAGGAGGGGGCACAGGTGTGGGGTGGACAAGGGCAGGCAAGGGAAATGGAGGAACTCAGGCCAAGTGTGTCGCCAACTACTGTCCACAGTGTGTGTGTGTGCGCATGTGTGTGTCTGTGTGCCTGGGGCACCATGAGATGGGGTGCTGGTGGCTGTGAGGCTAGGGGCAGGGGCAGCTCAGACCCCTTGGCCAGCCCCTTCACAGTGGGACTGGGGGCTTGGATGATCGGGCCCTGGCAGGCAGACAGCAATGAGAAGCACTCACCCTGCAGTCCCAAGGGGCCCCAGTCTGGCCCCTACCCCTCTTGGTTGAGGGAGAAGATACCAAAAGCCAGCTGTCCCTCCTTCCAGGGGCTGTTGCTGAAACTGCCCATGCCTAGTGGTTAGGCAGAGGAAGAAGGGAGCTGGCTGCTCCCTCTGCACAATGGAGAGGAAAACAGCCTTGGAAAGTTAGTAGTTCACAGTATTAAAGAGAAAACTGAGGAGAAAAGGCTGAGGAGGAGGGTAAAGGGGCACAAGCACATGGAGGGAGAGGGGAGCCCCTCCCCTCCCCAGGACCCACCCTTTCCAGCTCTGGATCCAGCTCCCCCCAATACACAGCACAAATTCCTTCAGTATAAATGTGCTTAAAATGAAAATTCTTATTAAAAAATCAAAACAAAAAAATTAAAATAAAAACAAAACCAGCAAGAATTAATACCTGGGGGTTGGTATGCAGGATATGTACAGGGGAACATCCCCTCCCCACCCGGGCCATCCCTCTTTCACCAACCGAGGCAGGGAGCAGTTCCCCAACTGGGGAGCAATGGCTTGTGAGTTCAGAGAACAGGGAGCCAGGTCCCGGCGTTGCTGGTGATGAAGATGTGGCAAGGTGGACAGGACTGTCTTGACAAGCAGGCCAGTCCAGACCCTCCTTTGGCTCTGCCTTGTCCCTGGTTGTCAGCCCTGGCTGCGGGAGAAGGAAGTCCATCGCAGGCCCAGACCTCTGTCCACACAGTTGCTGTCTCCTCCCTCCTGTTCTCAGGAAGGTCCTCAGTTCTGTCTGGGAGGACAGGTGAGGGCAGAGCTGGTGGGGGTCCCATGGTTGGTAAAAGGCAGAAAAAGCCAGGGCAGGGGCAAGGGCTGCGTCCATGTGGTGCCGTGGTCACGGGGAGTGGGTGGCCGGGCTGCTTCTGGTGGAGCTGGGACTGAGGCTGGGGCTACAGCTGCCAGGTGGGGGAGCCAGGCCATTCCCTTCCCGTCCCCCGCCCCCTGGCTGTCCGCTCAGAGTGTCCAAGCCCTCCGAGTTCTCCAGCATTTCCTGGATGAGAGGCGGCATGGAGCCGGGGATCTCCATCTTCAGCGTGATCACTCGCTCAGCCCCTGCAGGAAGGGAAGGTAGAGATCAGTGTGCCAGCCCAATCCTGACCTGGCAAACTCTGACTGGGAGAGTCGCTGGAAGCGGGAGGACCAATACCACCGGTATGGGTATCTACCACACACTACATGCAGGACTGTTATCTGACGTGATCTGGCATCCTGAGCTGGCTCCAACACCTGAGTTCCCAAGTCCAGGGATGTATGGCACTGAGATGAAGCCATTTTCATCTTGGGCTCCACAGGTTGCACTGCCAGCTGGGTTTAGCCCTGGGTCCATCCTGTGCTGTGTGCTGTGGATTACCAACTGACAGCACTATACACTACCGCTGTCCCCACTCCTCATATGGGAAAGTGAGGTTCAGAGCCTGCTAGGTGACCTGCACACGGATGACACTCCAGCAGTCTTAGCTATCACACAAAGGTGGTGGTAGGAAGGTTTCTAGGGACAAAGTCTAGACACAAACAGGGACACAGTGGCTCCAGATGAGCAGTATACTGCTGGGCACCAGCAGTGCTGGGTTCCAGCCTGGCTGTAGGCAACCAGGTCCCAGGCCAGGCATGGAGGCTGACCTCCCTTAAGGCCTGGGAGACTCACCCTTGGCACTGATGCTTCGCAGGTCGGTGATCTTCATCAACATCTTGGGGAACATGTGGGGGCGGCTAGGCCTCCGCTTGCGCACGTAAACCTTCAACGCCTCTAGCAGCGGCTCCTGCAGCATGTCCACCCTTTCTGGCTGCTCCAGGTCCTGCCGGTCTGACAAACACAGACCATCCCTGAGTAGCAGCCCTGGGCCACCCAAGAACACAGCTGCATTCCCAGACATGGCCACTGGGGGGCAGATCTGCCCAAGCCACAGGAAGGGCTGCTGCATGCTCTCAGGGGTGCTGCTTTCAGGCAACTCCCAGCAGCAGCGGGTGTGCCTCTCAGTTGGCCAGGGCAGACAGAAGCCCTCAACTGTAAGCAAAAAGGAGATGGAGGCAGTGGCTTCCCAGTCCTCCCCAAAAGCCCAGTTGATGGGAAAGGGACCCAACAGGCAGGGCCATCCTTGAGCAGAGGATACACTGCCTGCAGGCCTCCGCAGCTACTCATCATTACTTGGAAAATCAGTGTGACATGGCAAAAATCACAAGAAAATAATCACAGCAACCAATATTAACTAGGTCTTCCTGTGAGTATGATGCACCTTAGGTATTATCTTAGTCCTCCCTCATCGTTTTTGTGCCCTTGTATGTATGTATTTATTTAATTTTTGCATACTTAGGTTTGAACTCAGGGCCTACATCTTGAGGCACTCTTTTGTGATGGGTGTTTTGTAGCCTGGCTTCAAACCAAGATTCTCCTGATCTGTCTTCTGAGTAGCTAGGATTACAGATGTGAGCCACCAATGCCCAGCTTATGTCCTTATTTGACAGAAAGAGAGGCTCAGAGCTTAGCAACCTGCTCGTTCACAGTCACCCAGCCGGCAAGGACTTGAATCTGGGCGGTTCTGACCCTCACTCTTGATCCCCCTAGAAGATTCTGTGCTGTCCAGAAATAGTGAAGCAGAATTCAGGCCTTCATCATTTCTGCCTTGCTGTGTGGTCACAGATCAAATGCTGCTCCTCTGAGCCTTGTGTCCTTCCCTGAGAGGGACCTGACAGATGATGGCTGAGTTTCTCTGTGGGAGAGGCTGGGGGAAGGGGTCTGTACCCCCACCCTGGACCTACACCCTGCCCCAGGCCCCCGCCCACCTCCACAGATGAGGCAGATGGCGCTAAGCAGCCCAGTCTCTGCATCATCCATTTCCAGGGGCAGCAGCTGGTTGGCGAAGGCAAAGACCAGGTCGGTGAGGGGACCGAAGCCAGCGTTGTGCATCTGGGTCCGGTTCAGGGTCAACCCGTCCGAGAAGGTCATGGTGTCCTGCTCGGGCGTGTACCGCGTGCAGATCCGCAGGATCTGGGTGCAGAGAGAATACAAATTCAGGGACTTGAGCCCCACCCACCCCTGGCACTCCAGCACCAGCATCCCTAGAGGCCCCTGGCAGGCAGCCAGAGCACGGCTGTCCGACGGAATTTTCTACAATGATGGAAAGGTTGTGTCTGCACCATCCAACACGGTAGTCACCAGCCCCATGTGGCTACTGAGTACTTGAGATGTGGCTAATGTGACTGAGCAATTGAACTGAGTCTAATTGTAATTAATTTAGGTTTAAACAGTCACATGAGGCGAGCAGCTACTGCACTGGGTGGTGCAGATCTAGGTCACCCTGTATGCATGCAGAAAATTCAGCGGAAAAGGAACTTCCAGGAAGCAAGAACAAGATGGATCTGTGACCACAATTCCAAGACAGAGCCCCATGGAGATGTATCAGCCTGAACCATGGGATAATTGTGCCTCTTGCATCCAGTCATGGGGATGGCAGGCTGCCCTTAGACAGCAAGTTCTACACCTCCCACCCCACCATCCTCCCTACAAAGTTCCAGGTTCCCCACCCTGGATGTGTCTGAGAAGGACAGGTGGACTGTGACCTTGTCAAGGACGAGAGAAAGGAGAGTCCTTCTCTGAGCCTCAGCTTGGGCAGCTACCTAACACCCCTGCATCAACAATTTGGGCCACTGTGGCTCCACCAAGTATCTCTGTTTCCCGTGAATCCATCATCTCCTAGCAGCAAGCCTTTCACCTCCTGCTCCTAGGAATGGACACCCTTCTACCAACTCCAGGGACATCCCCCCAGAGCCCCAGTAGCTGTGGCCCTCCTCAGCAGAGAGGAGACATTTCTCCCCGCCATCTCTGCCCAGCACTTATCAGCAATGCAACATCTGTTTATTCCTGTGGCCTCCTTCTCTGGGAGGTTTTCGAGAGAGAGGAGGCTATGTGTTCACCTCTGGGCTCCTGATGCCCAGACTAAGGGTCTAGCCTTACAGGGGACTATTACTACAGACTAAATAGAGGGATGGAAGGTTCGACAGACACAGAGGGTGAGGCTGGACAGCTGTGAGCATAGGTGAACCCATGCACACCTGGGTGCTGAGCAGCTCAGCAGACAGGTAGACAAGTAAACGAGTGAACAGGTGGACGTGGGACGAAGGTGACGATTTGGGTGGTGGGCAGTTGGATGGGTGGATCTCAGATGTATGTTCAGGAGGGCTGTTATTCGGCTGAGCAGACATCCTCTAATGACAGGAGCAATGACCAGGGGGCGGGGGGGGGGGCAGACCCTCACCAGGATGTCCAGGCAGGCAGCCTTGAGGAGGGTGATCTGGTCAGCAATCGTGAGGGTGGTAAAGCCAGGCAGCTGCTTGGCAAACTCCACAGTCTTAATGATGCACTTGGTGGAGAGTTCACTGAACTTGTCCCAGAGGTCAATGTCCAGAGAGACACGTTGTTCTGAGCTGTTGTTCTGGGGGAAGGAGGAGAGTGAGGGCCTCCTCCATGGCACCCTGGCCTGCCCTCCACCCAGCCTTCCGCTTCCTGACAGCTGCTTGGAGGCAGGGGCAGGAGGAAACACAGGGGAGGTGAGGGGAGGCCAGAAGCCTCTGCCCAGGGTACAGGGGAAGCATGGCGGAAAGGGAGCCGTGAACACACCGCCCAGTAGCCGGGCATACCGTAGTGTACTTGCCCAGCTGGCAGAGGGCAGGGAATGTCTCCTGGTGCGCTTTGCGCACCTTCTCGATGAGCTCCCCCACCTCCGGCGTCAGCGTGTAGCTCTCGGAGCACTCAGGCTTGGGTGCCTCTTTCTTCTTCTTGTTCCGGTCATTCCGCACCGCTGTGGAGGACATGGGGCAGGTCAGAGGGTGGCTGCTGCAGTGCCCACCCCAGGCCCAGGCCTAGTGTTTCTTACTAGCCAGAGTTGTCAGCTGCTGAGGTCACCTGGCTGGTGTACATGCACACACAAATACACAGTAAGCAAGGCATCACCACACACTCTAGCCCTCCATGCCCACCTGACCCACACACCAAGTCCTGTCCCAGGGACCTGTGAGCCCAGCTGTGATCATGCACTTACTTGCCTGGGGCAGCCATGGTGCCTGGCCCTCCCATGCATCCACCCCAGCCCCACATTCCAAAGGCCCATTTCCGGGGCCAGCAGTGGTGCAGACCATGTCCCTTCTCTGTGTTCTGCCTCTCCTACTCCACACAAGGTCCTGCTCTGGCCTCTATGCCCCAGCCCTCCTGGCAACATTCTCTCTGGAGGTCCCTGAAACTGGCTCAAAGCAGCTCTTGGGGCTCCCCAGGCCCTGAGTGGGGGCTGCAGGAGAAACTCTCGGCCCATTAGCCTGGGAGCTGACAAATCACCAGGGGCGCTGAGCCGCACACACCACTCGGCTTTAAAGAAGCGATGGGGTCGTTACCAGCCGATTATCCCAGACACACGATCATTCACAGGGCTGTGGTGGTGGCTGCTGACGCGGGAGGGAGGAAGGAAGGGTGGGGGTGGGGGACCAGGGAGGGGGTGGGGGGGGTAAGGGGGGGAGCTGGCATAATTTGGAGATCACTCATGTCGATTCTGCAAATTCAATAAAGTGCAGGGGAGAGAAGGGAGAGGGAGAGGGAGAGTGGGGGGATAATTTGGGAAGAGAAAATTGCAGCTGTGACAAGACGTTTATCATTCGGAAGCTTTAATTCTATTGAAATGGCAGCTGCTCAGCTCCGGGGCACAGAGCAGCAGGGAGAGGGGAAGGAGGGAGAGAAAGGGGGAGTTGTTGGTGGGAGGGAAAGGGGGTCCCCACCCTAGTACTTCTGCAGTGAAAAGAGTGGAAGGTGGCCAAGGGAGGAGGTGATAGCCCTTCAGCAAAGGGTCCCAGGCCTCCAGTCCCAAGCTGTCACCCACTCTACAGCGAGGAGATACCACTTCCTGGGCTCAGGACCAGGCTCTCAGCCTCCTGTGCAGGATACTCCAGGTCCCTTCTGCTTCTGTCTGGGGCTCGCAGTGCATGAGTCAGAACCATCTCTCCCCTGTGCCCCCTCCTCACTTCCTTCTTCACTGCAAAGGGCTAGCCCACAAAGGGCTAGGGGGTCCTGCAGCCCCCTCCCCCACTCAATCCCCCAAGGCTCAGGCTCCATGGCAACGGCCACGCAGACAAGGAGGCGTCTGTCAGCGTCATTTATCTCTGACATCATCAATCACCGGTCACCACGGCAACACCCATGATTCAACACAAGAGGGTCTCCCTGACCTGCCCTCCCTCCCTCCCATCCTCCCTCCATTTCTGCCTCAGCTGAGCCCGAACTGGAAACCCCTGTTCCTCTGGGAACCTGAGAAGCTCAATTTTCTCTTCCAACTCCAGATCCCAGGCTTATCCAGACAATGGCTTCTGGATCCTTGTGCCAATCCAACACACATAAATACCAGCCTAGAATCCCCCAGAGTTCAGGCCTTCCCTTAAGATGCACAATCAGAAAACAGGTATGCTACAGAGCCTCACCCCACAGCCAAGCAGGGCCTGAAAGAAAGCCATCCTGGGAGCAGATACACATGCACACACGTGCAAGGACACATGTGCAAGCACACACAGCCAGATGTACAACTGCAATAATTGTACACTGTGCTCAAGCACTGACCCACACATGGACACACACATAGCCAGACTCAGACTGATCCTAGCAACTATACACAAACCATCCTTAACCACCAGACTGCCTGCCACAGCATGCATGTTCACACATGTGCACACATATCCACACAGCCCTGCTCCAGTGGCCTTCAGGAACACTTCAGGCTCCACTGTAGTGGGGTTTGGCCCTCCCCGTAGCACTCACATTCCTTGGACATGCCCACTTCGAAGCACTTCTGCAGCCGGCAGTATTGGCAGCGATTCCGGGTCACCTTGTTGATGATGCAGTTCTTGTCTCTGTGACATGTATATACCATGTTCTTCTGGATGCTACGGCGGAAGAAGCCCTGGGTAGGGAGAGGGGAAGTCAGGTCATCCACACCCACAGGAGAAGGAGTGCCTGGCCTAAGGTCTCAGCCTGGGGGAAGAGTACCAGGCCAGAAAAGGTGGGGAGATGACTCACCTAAGAGGACTCATTAGCAGAATCCCAGGCCTGCCTCAATCCCACAAGGTGGCCTGGAGTCTTCCCCCCACCATACACCCACATACCCAATTCTCCCCTTTTGAGGAAAAGGCTGCTGGTAAGTCTGAAACAGGAACACATGAGGCTGAACAGGAGAGAAGCAGAGCTCTGAGACCCACAGCCCAGGACTCAGAATGCAGGAAGAAGACAGCAGGAAGAGGCCAAGAAGGCAAGGAGAGGTGCATACATGTTCACAAGTACTGGGGAGCAAGGCAGCAAAAGTGATATTCACCAACCAGACCAGACATGCATGGAACAATCAGAGAGAGATACAGGCTGTCAGGGCTCCACACTTAGGTCAACACAGACAGACAAACTAGGTAGGAATAAGCCAGGAACAACCAGACTGGACCAGCAGTCCCACAGTCTGAGGCCTGTGCTTTGCCCTTGATCTTTGTCTTACATCTGGGGACAGGTTCTCCAGACTGAAGGGTAGCCCAGAGTCCCCAAGTCTTGAAGCTGTATAGCTTCTAGGCCCCATCTCTAGAGGGGGGCAGAGGAGGAGGAGATGCCAGCTGTGGGGAAAGATACAGCCACATCTGTACCTGGAGCCCAACACTGGAGCCCAGGGCGTGAAGGGGAGGCCAAGGCAGGATGCCTGCTCCTAACTGCCTCCCACCAGGCTGCCATAGCAAACTCCAGGCAGGACCACTGGGGGCAGGCCTCCTTGGTCCCCAGCCAAGAATCAGTTGGCATCTAGCTCACCATGGCAACCTGGGCAGCGGTGGCAGAGCAGGTATACACCCTGTCAGCTGGGGGATGGTGACAGGGAGAAGAGTTCAGGCAGGAGGGGACCTCTGGTTTGGCAGATCCCTGCTCATCTGTGGAGGAGGCTCTACTGCAAGCATCCCTCCTCCAGGGCTGCTGCCAATTTGCACATAGAAAAAGGATGGCAGCTTCAAGGACATCCCACACCCCAACTGCATACTCAGGATCTGGCAGTAGGGACATCCCATTTATCCATTCAAGCCTGTCCTTCTTGAGGACCCCAGAACTCACCTTACAGCCTTCACAGGCGCTGACCCCATAGTGGTAGCCTGAGGATTTGTCTTGACAGACAAAGCAAGGCTTATAGATGCGGGGGAGAGGGGGTGGCGAGGGAGGGCTGGGTACTATCTCTTCAGAACTGCTGCTCTGGGTCTCAATGGCTAGGAGAGAAGAGGGTAGGGTCAGTTAGACACCCAGGTCACCATCCTCAGTACCCTAACCACCCTGCCTCCTGGTCTCACCCAGGAGCCTCTCCCACCTTGCCACTGCTGGCAGGATTCAAAGTCTGGGCAGGGAATTATCTCAGGAAAGTCCCCAGCCAGACTTAGGGAAGGAAGCTGCCAATGAAACCACCAGCACCCATCACTCCTGTCTGCCTCCCAGGCCCAACCTTCAACCCCAAAAATGTCAGATTTGTGTAAATACCTGGATATGCTTGGAAGGTGTATGTGGGGGGTGGGTAAGGGTCAAAGCCCTGGTACTTGGCCAGGTCCCCCCCAAGTTAGGAATGAGTTAAGGCTTGATGAGGGGGAGGGAAGAGGACACAAGCTGGGGATGAGGAAACTGGGGTCAACAGGATATTCAAAGCTGGCCACTCCCTCACCCCTCTACTTCTGTTCCCCCTTCCAACCCTTATGCCAGCAACCACAGCCCCTCCTTCACCAAAACAATCCCTTGGCCAAGGCAGGGTCCAAGGCAGGGTGTGCAAAGAAGAATCACAAAATGTTGGGGCACAGCAGGCAGACACACCCTGAGAATAGGTATGGGGATCCCCTGAAGACAGGAAGAAGAAACCCCATGGCCTCCATAAGCCCATCACTCTTCCCCATGTCTGGAGGAGGCAGCATGACAAAGGGGGTCTGTTCCCATCAATGCTCTGTCTGTCTGGCCTCAATACTATGTCGGGTAACTACCTCCTCCCCTCCACTCCTGTTATTCAGCTCCAAGAGGGCAGCCAGGAGGGGGTGACCCAGCCAGCAGGGGCAGCCCCCACGGGCTAAGCCTCCCCAGTGCCTGGCTCCCTGCATATCACCCTGGACAGAACAGAGCTGCCTGGGTGGGGGCTATCTGCACCCAGAGCCTGGGAAGCTCAGGGTACCATGTGCTAGAGAAAAACTACATACAGCAGGGGCAACTCCACATTCCCAAGGGGCCACCCAGCATCTTCCCAAGACCTTTGCTATGTCCACTTGTTCGAAGCCAAGAGGGCTGAGGATGCCTCCTTGATAGATCATGGATTGATTCCTCATACACCCCAAAATCCCAATTAGTTCTCCTCCAGGCTCGGCACATGAAGAACTGGCATTTAAAGGTGTCCACAACTCTTGGCCAAAGCACCTTACAGCTCTGAGTCCTGTGGCCCCAAAGGCCAAGAATAGAGGTATGAACTTAGGATACCACCCTTCCCTTACCTGCAAACACACAAAGGCTGCCAGGCAGTTAATGACAAGGAACCAGGCCAACAACCTTGGCAGGGCTTTCCTGGCTCCTAGTAAGGCCTGGGCACCACTTCCATGGACAGCTTGGCTGACCAGTACTACTGTACCCCCAGGGTCCCCTTTCCTGCCTAGGTCTATGCCTACACCCCTGTCATTCTAGCAGACTCCTCACTGACCTTTCCCCAGCTCTCTGTTCCTCACCCCAATACCAAGATGCAGAGGCCTGGTTTTCCCCCACCTTATTCTCCCCAGGCCAGACAAGCAAATCAGACTAACAAGGAGGCCAGAGAACAGCTGCTGGGGGGCGGGGTTGGGGGGCCTGGGTAAGGCCAGGAGGCAGAGGGGTGAACTACAATGGAGTCCTTTGTTGTACTAACTTTTTCCAAGACGTAAAGGCAGTAACAATAGACAATCTAGACTGGGGGGGGGGCATCAAGGACAAGGGGGAAACGGCCTAGAATCCTGGTCAGCATTCCAACAAGCAGAGGAAGAGGCACTGACCTCCTTTCCCCTACTAACTCACCCTTTGCCCTGGGCCCTATCCACCATGCCCCACCTCTAAAACGTACCAGAGCAGAGAATGAGGACTGAGGGAGTTTTGGGGTACAAAGCGGAGTGAAGGGAGGGAAGGAAGGACACAGGGAGACAGGGGATCCAAGAATGAGGAGCAGACAGCTCTAAGCCAAGAAGAAACCAGAGGGGCAAAGGCCCATAGAAATTTGGAGCTAAGGCAAAGTCCAGAGGGTGTTTATGGGGCTGAAAGAATGTGCTTTTTAAAACTGATTTTTGGCAGGATGGGGGAGATGACCCAAGGACAGGGCTAGTTAGGGCTGAGTGAGGCCTCTTTTCAGCCCACCCCCCTGCAGCTGCCTGGCTGCCTGCCGGCCTTTGAGGCTGTAACACTGGTTTGCACCCCCACCACCAGCATATCCCCACCTGTCACCCAGGTAACATGGCTCTGAGGTTTCCAGCTCTGCCCTTTGAACCTAGAGCCTGGGGCCCACACCTCCTAGGGCCTCGGTGAGTAGCTGCAGAAGTTGGAGGGGTTCCGGGACCCTCTTAGTTCCTGCAAGTGCTAAGACACAGCCTCTGTACAAACAGGTGAGGGGGAGTCACCACTGGGGAGGGACTACCCTGGCCTGACCTCTCCTCTCTAGAGGCCCCAGCCCACAAATCTCTCCTCTTCCTGCAGAACGACTCAGGCTAGAAAAGAACCACACCTTCTCAACTCAAAGTTCCAGCGCCCAGCGAAGGCTGGAAACAGCCCAAGAAGCCCAGCGCCCAGCGTTCCCTCCCGAAGCCGCTGCCAGGGTGCCCCTCCTCCGCTCTGGAGTCCCCACGCCCCAGAGCCATTCGCAGGCTCGCGCGCAAGAGGCCAGTTTCCTGGAGGAGATCAGCAGGAAATCAGCCGGGCCCCAGGCCAGCGGCTCCCCTCCCAATCCAGCTGGCGCCCTCTCCTCCGCAGCTCCCCTTGCAGCCCCTGGAGAGGTTGGGGAGGGGGGCGCAGAGCCCTTTACGCCCGTCCTCCTTCTAGGGGTAGCTCAGCGGCGGCGGAAGAAGACTGGAAGAAGACTAGAGCCCAGCGAGCCCAGCGGCTGCTCCCGCATCCCGGATAAGCATCGCTCTGCTCCCCCTCCCCCACTGTGGGCACCCACGTGCTTTGCATTCTTGGACGTCTGGGAGAGGGCGGAGGCGTGAGCGGCGGAGATTGGTGGGGGACAGATGGGGAGCTACATCCTGTGCACCCCTTGTCCTCTAGTTCACCGAAATTGGGGCTATGAAGAGGGAGGCAAGGTCCCCAGCAGCTCTTCCCACAGCCAATGGTGTTCACTTCCCCGTCGTTGGTGGAGGCAAGGAGGGAGTGGAGAATTTTCCGTAAGGGGGCTGGAAGGCGACTCCAGTCACCTATACCCACCAAGGAGTTTCTTCCAAGCTGGTGACACTACCCCATAGGCAGGGTCTAAGTGGCCACCTTCAGACTCAAGGTCCTTCTGCGCACCTCAGAGCAATCCCTTGTCCCCATTGCTGACACTGTGGTGGACACAGACACACATCTTTAGCCTACTGAGGGGAACTGGAGGCCAGGCCTCTGGCTCTGCTCCCAACCCAGACTGAGTGTGTGGCCAGGTCTCCACTTCCCCATGTCCACTGGCTGGGGGAAGCAGGGCTCACCACACGGGCTGCCTGCCCGTCTCTAGCGATCCTCCTCCCCTCCAGTTCTGGGCCAGGAAGAGCTGAGCTGTCCCGTAGGCTAAGGAAGAGACGGGCTGGAGCCCAAGGGCTCAGATCCCTGAAGTGTTCTGGAGAAAGCAGTGGACCGGGTGGGCCTGGCAGCCCTACCACATTATCCTGAAAGGGGTGGGGGGGATGGGAATCTTCTTCCTCCAGTGCTGAGATAACAGGGAGGGTCCTGGTGTCACCTCTCCTTTTTTGTAAAGCCAATGATCGCTCACCCCTCCTTCCCAGTTTGCAACCTCACAGTTGATTCTGCCCCAAAGGCAAAGGTCAGGGGGCAGGACAATAGCAAAGGCTGGGGTTGAAGCATCTCTGCAAGGCAAAGGTGGGCTGTCTGCCCACCTCAGGTCTAAAGCAAGGAGGGCTGCAGGTGGGAATGTCCTTTGCCCCTCAACCTCCAATCTGCCAGGTCCTGGAAACTCACTCCACCCCTGCTCCCTGGCAGGCAGGAGAGTGGAAGCAGGTCTGGGAAGGTGGGAGAACCTCCTGGGGAAAGCTGAGACACCTAACAATAACCCCCAAGTGCCAGCTCTCCCACCCAGTGTACACTACCTCCCAGCTGGCATGAATACGCCCAAGTGTGCACCTTGTGCCTGAACACAGGTCCTGGGCTATGCATGGAACCCCTCCAGAGAATGACCCCAGACCCGAGAAGGTGCTTGGCTGCCAGGACACCAGGCTTCTCACCAATGCCTCTCTTAGGGACAGCACAAGGCCTGGTCCTATCTCCCAGTCAGGATAACAAAAGGATTCTGTGGGGAGAGGGGTTGAGGGAATTCTACTCACTTCTAGAGCAGCCCCAGCCTCACAAAGACCAAACATCCCCCAGAAAACAAACACGATTGGGGGAAGCAGATTCTTTGCACCAGCAATTTCTCCCCTCCATTCGCAGGACGGAAGCCTCTAAGATGCCAGCCAAGTGTCTGGGACCAGAACAATCCCAGCTGGACCAGGTGGTCCTCAAGATGTAAGGGTTTGTCAGGACAGCAGACCTGGTGTCTGGTGAAGTTGGCCCTTTCTGCCACACCCCACTGTCAACACCAAAGACAGTGAGTGCTCCCCTGACACCCACTCCAAATACGCAGGGGCTGGGGGCAGCAGCTGTCACACAGCACAGGAGGGGCTTCCCCAGGCTTTGGCTGGGTAGGGTCTGGGGAGGTAGCCACTTCTCCTAGAAGCAGACATGCCGGTAGACAGGACCTTTACCCCAACCTCCAGTCTGAGAAGCTATGGGATCCTAAGTGAGAAGATACCAACTGGGGGCAAGGGGCTGGAACTTACGTTCCTTGGAAGAAGTAAAAGATGAATGAATGTTTCCGTAAAAGAGGAACCCTCAAAGTTCCTCAGTCCTAATACAACAAATAGCGCCCCGGGGTTACTAGGTGGGGGACAACTATCCAGGAAGGGCATGTGAGTTGCAGCAAGAGAGAGGGGGGAAAGAGAGGAACAGAGACAAGGTCCCCACCGCGCCAGGCACGCATCCTTGGGTAAGAGAGGAAGCCTTACCGCCACCCCCATCCCAGCTCCTACAACAGCAGAGCGAGGCCGGTACCTACAGTGGTTTGAGCCATTCCAAAGCGGAGTCCGGAGAGGGGTGGAGTAGGGACCGGGGGCAGGAAGCCCCTTCTCCGGGAGCAAACAGGCCCGGTTCTGGTTATAAAAATCCACCACTAGGAAAGGGTTAGGGGCGGGGGCGAGTGCCCCTACTTCCACGCTCTCATACATCGTCCCCCGAGAAGACAGGAGGCCCGGTTGGGTTAGTCCAGCGCGCTGTCCACCTCACTCAGCCGGCGGCGCCATCCGAGCAGAGTGACTGGGGGCGAGGGGAGCCCCTCGCCGCTACTGGCAACACGGGCAGCGGGGCGCTCCTGCCCAGAAGTGCCCCCGTCTAAGTCCACCGGTGGCTCCGCCAGTCGCAGGTGAAACGCGGCAAGTTCCGTGTGCTGGGAGGAGGGGTCCCTTCGCGCTCCCAGGCCTTGGCCCGAGAACTAAGCGGCTTCACCTCGAGGGGTCTTCTGTCTCTAGTCTCCGGTGTCCGAGGCAGAGTCTGGCGGTTTCCCAAGTCCGCTGGGCGAGGGCGGGATTGGCCCAGGACGGAGGGGGGGCGGGGGGGTCACCGAGCACTTCCTCTTGCCTGCCGGGGCTCCCGTGCTTCTCCCCGGCAAAGATTCCGGGTGGGGGTGGAGACCCCGCGCGGCCCCGCCTCCGCCAGGCCCGGGGCGGCGGGCGGCTTGCTGGGTCTCTAGAGTGCGCGCCGCGGGCCCCCCCAGCCCACGCGCCCCCTCCCTCCAATCCCACCCCCTCCCGCCGCCCCGCCCCGGCCAGGCGCCGCCCCTGGCTTAACCCTTTCCCAGCGGATCTGGGCTCTGGCTGCAGCCGGCAAAACGCGGCAAGGCGAGAGGGAGAGGCGGCATGTGGACAGCAAGTCGGGAGAGCCTTGAGGTGGAGAGAGAAGAGGGGAAGGAAGAGAAAAGGGCACCAAAGGAGGATACGCCGAGTACAGAGGAAGGCAGGGCACAGACAGGGATGGGCGGGCGTGTCCCCCATCCCAGTTCCGGCTCCCAGCCTCCCCTGTGCTTTGGTCAATCCCCGACCCTGCCAGGCGATGCCACAACAGGGAGGTGGGGTGGTCCCAGTGTCCTCCCCCTAACACACACTACACTCCCACCCAGCCCCGGCCTCATTTGCCTAATGCAATGCGGCTGAACTCTTGCTGAACTCGCCCGGCGGCGCCTCACCTCCGGGTGACCCACCCACCGCTGCCCGTGACATCACCCGCTCGCCAACTCGCCCTCGAGGTTCGCCTGCCGGCCCCCCGGCCCGGCCTAGCCCGACCCACAACCCCCAGACTAGCGGAGAGCAGCCGCGGAAGGCGCAGGGCAGGGGTGCATGTGGCCAAGAGTTAGCGCCGCAAACGTGGCGTGCTGGGTGTCCCGTGTGTGACACTGTGCAGCTTTAGCGCTGTGCCGAATGAGACACCCGGCTTGTGTCAATCTGTGACATCATGTATGACTCGGGCCGCCCGCCGGAACCCGACGCAGCAACGCGGTGCGGTTGGCACAGATACAAGCAGAGGGGGGCTCTCCTCCCCACGCTCTGCGTGCTTCCGGCGAGCAAAGCCCCGCCCAGGGTGTCTCCCAGCTGGGGAACCGGGATCCACGGCTGAACGCTCCAGCCCAGGAGAGAGAAAAGGAGGGGCTGGTGCCTTTCACTAGCTCACCACTTCCTCCCGGAAGCCCTCTAGATGCTTAGGATGCCTGTTTCATTGGAAGCAAAGCCTAGATTAGGTAGATCCCTAGAAAGAGGGATACCCACGGATGAGTATCCTATTACCCTGTTCTCTAAAAAGAGGGGATGGGAAATGACATAATGCCAAAGGATTTCCTTCTGAAAGCCAGGCCCTTTACATACGTTGCCATGTAATTCTCACAGCTTCTCCAGGAGGTCTTATTCTTGGCAAGGCTAGGTTGGGTTCTCTTAAGATTACACTAATATAAAGGGTGTAGAGGGAACTTTCTGTTACCTAAATCCATGCTCCTAATGTAGTAACAGCCATTAAGCAAATAATCATGTGATTGATATACAGACAGATACTGCAAACGAAGATAAGTGATACTATGACAGGATAAGTATGCTTTGAGGAATTAATGTAGATTCAAGGGTCAGAGATCTAAAGAAAGTAGAAATTCAGAGTCAGGTAAAGAAAAGGAAGTGCAGGCCCAGTAAAATGAGCCTATGTACACGTCCTGGGGCCACACAAGTGGGTCTGTTCATGCCTGTAATCCTAACTACTTGGGAGGCTGAGATCTGGAGCCTCACCATTAGAGGTCAACCCAGCAAATAGTTCTCAAACCCCATCTCCAAAATAACCAGAGTAAACTGGACTGGAGGTGTGGCTGAAGTAGTAGAGCGCCTGTGTTCCAACAGTGAAGCCCTTGAAACCCCAGTTCCACCAGAAAAAAAAGTAGAATCATGGGGGGAGGGGGCGGGTGGGAAAGATGGTATCTGGTGTACAGCTTTTTGTTTTGTTTTGTTTTGCATTGGGTAGTTTTGGGGATTGAATTTACAGCCTCAAGCTTCCTAGGCAAGCTCTCTACCCCAGTCCTGTTTTTAGGTCTGTTTTGTTTTGAGACAGGGTCTCCCCATGTAGCCCAAATTGGCCTTCAACTCTCCATCCTCCTGTTTTTGACTCCTAGGAGCTAAGATTACAGACATGCATCACCACACCCAACTGTGGTGTACAGACAGTGAAGATCCTGGGACAGCAAAGTAAAGAAATCCACCTACTGAAGGGCAGGGGTGTGGGCTCCCAGGCGAGGGCACGGACTGCAGATGGAAAGCCAGGGTCTGGAGCAGGTATGCAAGTCCTGAAGTGACTAAGGCTGTGCCTTTGGTATCTTTCTGTCCAATGATGTAGCTCCTGTTAGGCTCTGTGATCACAGCTGAGATGCTAAGGCACCTGAGACTTTGTCCCTTGTGGTCAGGAAAAGCTCTCCCAAATCATTCAGTTCACAGCAGGAATGGGGAAACAACTTCGTGGTAGAGATGAGTGTTGTAAAGAGAATAAGGAGCCACAGGCATTCAAAGGAGGGAGGGAGACTGTGGCAAGAAAAGGAGAACATCTGTGAAGGCTTCTGGAAAGAGGATTCAAGATGTTCCTTGAAGGATGGACAGGATTTCCGAAGCCAGAGAGAGAAGCTGGGGTGAAATGCCTGTTCTGGGCAGCAGAAAGGTCGTGAAGCAGGTCAAGGCAGAACACAGTGTTCTGGGGCAGTGGGAGAAGAGGGAGAAAAGAAAGGCACTGGTCAGGGACAGGGGTAAGACCTCAGGGTGGCAGCTGTCTGCATGCCTGGGCCCCATCCTGCTTAGCCTCATCCTCCTCATCTCCATTTCCTCCAGGTCTTTGTGCTTAGCAAGCCCTAGACAGGTGTGGGTTGAACTGACCCCAACTTGTGCCAAGCAGGGTTCCCTCCTATTCCTACTTCTCAACTGGAGGGGACAATAAGCAGGAGATCATAAGGCTCAGTGCCAGGTGGACATCAGGTCCTAATACAGGGTGGCCAGTCCCCAAGACAATGCTTAGCTCCCTCCTGCCCCGGGTCATTGCTGCTCTTGCAAGGTACTTGAAGTTCATAAGACCATCAGTAGCAAGTGGGTCACTGTGGCCTCATAGCAATCAGCCCAGCCTGAGGCGGATTCCGAGACTTGCTTTGAAAGGAGGAAACAGATTTAGAGAGAGGTTGGGTGACCTGCCCAAGGCCACACAGGAAGAACGTTTTTTAAGGCAGTTGGGGGAGGTAGGAGTAGAGGGAGTCAAGGCGTCTTCAGGCTTGTTGACAGTTCCAGAAAACCAGAAGTCCAAGTGGGGAGAAGAGGACCTCTATCTTTGATTCAACTACAACTAAGTGGCCTTCAGTCTCTCTAGGCCATTGAGGGGAAAGAAGTCACCCCACCCCAACATGATTTGGACAAGGGCACCACTTCCTTTTTCCACAGATGCTACCCCCATACAACAGTCTGAGCCTGCACTGGCACAGACTCATAGGTATACAATGCTTCAGGGCCCTGGTTAACCAAAAGGAAGACAGGTTTCCTTCCCTGAGTCCCCCTCCCTCAGTCCACATAGGGATCCTGCCTGGAGGGGGCCTGTGCATTATCTTTGATGGAAGATAAAAGGGGAGGGGGCCCATTTTCATCGAAAACCCCTGTAATAAAGGTCTGTGGCTGACACTGCATTTTGGACCCCAGGAAAGGAACTGCTAGGCAGCACCCCCTCCCTCTAGACTGTCTTTCCCATTGTCCAGGGAAAGAGTGGGAAGAGGGAGGGAGGGAGGAAGCACAGTTTGCAAAGGGGAGGAAGTGACAGGAGAGGAAGAGGAGAAAGGCACACCCCCTCCTCTCTGTCTCCTTGCCCAGGCCATTCCCTAAGTCTCTAGACCGGCATCCAGCAAATACTTGGATGGAAAATCTGAAGCCACCCTTTTCAGGCTCTGGTTCCTGCTCCTCTATTGACTGCTTCCAAATTCCCTGCCCCCACTCCACAAATTGAAACAAAATAATAAGAACTGTAACTTTTATACTCTGTTCCTTCAGTGTCTGTCTTAAGATGGGAGGAAGCCACCCGTTTAGCTCTGCAAACTCTGAGGGTTGCAGTGGGCAGATTCGGGGGTGGGGTGGGTGTGAACAGATTGTATCCACAGCTTCCAGGACAGGATGGAGATCTGGCCCAGGCCCCTTATCTCTTCTTTCCCTCTAGACTTCAGGATCCAAAACAGAGAGGAGGGGGCGTGGCTTGAAGGGAGCCTTCCCTGCGCCCCCTACTGGGGAAAGGCAGGAAGTCCTAAAGCACAGGTAGGGCTTCAGCAATGGAAAATGGGGTTGCAGCCTTGGAGGCCCCAGCCCCTTCCAGACTCTTGACACCTGGCAGTGCCACCCCCCACACACAGTCCCTTCCCAAAGATCCCTATGTGGATGGTGGGAAAACAGCAGCTTTACCAGCTGAGGCTGGTTCTGTGTACCTTAACACCCTCCCCCCGCCATCTGTTTCTCCTGGGTAATGGGGATAAGGTCCCTCCTTGTAGGGGTGAAAATCTGTAAAGCACAGATAAGGTCTCTGACCCACGGAAGGTGGTCCACAGCCTCCTATTCTCTCCATCTCCCACCTAGAAAAGACCC